AAAAAAACTATAGCCTTTACCACTTACTGCATTTGGAGAAAGATGGCTCAGGAACAAAATGTGAGGCAGCATGTGATGGAGGCGGAGGCCAGTGGAACTGCGTGGTGTGAACCGGCAGTGTGTCTTCAGGAATCAGGAGCAGCGGCTTCTGGGGGAAATTATGCTCAAAGCTTTAAATGTGACATCACATGAACTGAAAAGCAATTTTAAAATGTATCTTAAAATCTCACCTCAAAAAAAAAGGGCCAGGGAGATAGCTCAGCAGTGTAAGCCCTTGCCTGGCGAACACAAGCTCATAAATTCAATCCCTGGCACCAAAAAAAAACAAAACAAAAAAAAACCTCATCTGTCAGTTGGCACGATCAGAATGTGTTTAATGTTTAGATAAATCTCAAGCTAACCTGTTCTCTATAGACATATCAAACTTAACATTTCATTTAAGTAACACATCTTACCTTCCTTGGGCGAGGGGATGGTGAACCCAAGGCGCCCTAAATACTGAGCTGTGTCTCCCCCTCACCTTCCATCATAATAAATGAAACACTCAATCCGGCCCGTGTGAAAGTATTGACTGCTTGGTACAGTTCTGACCTATGATAATTTTTATATAAAAAGTCTAGTTGATAATCTTAAACTTTTTATTCACAGAACACCTGAAAGAAAAACTGGATGAATATATTAAACTGTGGAATGGCCTAGTGAAGGTATTTCGAAATGAGAGAAGAGAAGGTTTAATTCAAGCACGAAGTATTGGTGCTCAAAAGGCCAAACTTGGGCAGGTAGGAAGCATTTGCTGTTCATAGTGTCAGGATTTTAGATTTGGTAACTAAAAGATCATCTATTTTAATCACCCTGCAGTTTTTTTGTAATTGAAATGAGGATCCTAGCTCGAACATAGTAATTTATATGTCAGAATTGACTATAATGCTAATTTTATTAGCATCTAATATAAAGTGTGTGATACATATGATGTACCATATATGAGGAGTGCTCTTTCACCCTGCCTCTTTTTTTTAAGGTTCTGATATACCTCGACGCGCACTGCGAAGTGGCAGTGAACTGGTATGCGCCACTGGTAGCCCCCATATCTAAGGACAGGTAACACCACCTTGGTTTGGTTTTTCTCTTTCTTAGTTGAAAAGTAAACCTTGTTGGCTGAGGAGATAGCTTGGCACTAAGCGCCTGCCTGGCAAGCACAAGGACCCAAGTTTGATCCCCAGTACCGCATGCTTTGCTGGCCCAGGAACCCTGGGCGCACCGTGCTGGCCACTGAAACTGGACGTGGTAGCACACGCCTGTAATCCCAGCACTGGGAAGGCAGAGACCGGAGGAGCACTATGAGTACAAGCTGCATAGCAAGACCCTGTACCAAAGAAAAAGAAAACTAAACCTTGTCCTAGAAGGTTTATACACATTCTTTGCTTCCAGTTCCAGCTCATATATCAAGCGTTGTGTTTCAGGTGTTACCCTGGAAGCAGTAGTTGCCTTGGATAGAGCTGGCCCGGCCATTTGGGCTGATTCAGATGTAGGCTGTCTGGCAGTAGGAAGAAGCCATGTCTTCCCCCCTCAAGACTCGTCTGTTACTGAGGCTGCTTCTGACCTCAGAAACTTTCCCTAAGAGTAAGATTTAGTGCTCCATCTAGACTAGACTAAGAGATATATAGACTTGGGGAAGAAAACTTGCTTTAAAATTATAGCTATTGGATTTTTAAGTGTATTTTAAGTATTTATTTATTTATTTTTAGATAGTAAGGAAGGACCAGCTATTACTTTAGTTGAAACTTTGGGTCCCTATAGAAACTTTATGTTTAGGGCTGGGGATATAGCTCAGCAGCACAAATGCCTGCCTGGCAAGTACAGAGTCCTGAGTTCGATTCCCAGTACAAAAGGGAAAAGAAAAGAAACTTTATGTTTAGAAACAGATATTCTGTGGAAATGTAGGGAAACACCAGAAAGTAGCATTCAGTGGCCTAGTTCCGAAAGCCTTCCTGGTCCCTGCTATTTCAGAATCTGAGATAATGAGACATACCCTGTGGCAAAAGGCATGAGTCAGAGGAAGAACTTCGGAAGGCTTCCTCACCGGAGGACTCCATGTGAGGGCGCATCGTGAACGCTGTGCAGTGCTATCTGCCTCACTGCTCAGGCAGGTCTCCAGCACAGAGTTGTTTAGCTTGACGTTATGGACCAGGACACGAAGGGTTAAAGAAATTAGATAACTTGCCCCAAATCAGATAGTTTAAAAAGCTTGTCAGACGCAGGTGTCTGGGCCAGGAGGAGTAAAGAAGGCTTGAGCCAGGCTGCAGCTACTCTCCAGCGCAGCTACTCTCCAGCGCAGCATGCAGCCCTGGGGCAGTGAAGGAAGCATCTCCCCAGGTTCCCAGCAACCTTCTAGAGAGGGGTCAGGCTTTGGAGACAGTAACCCATTCTTTTAGAATCTAGTTCTCCCAAATCAAAGTTCTAAGCCTCATAGATTTTTTTTATTTCCCTCTTTCCTCAGGCTTCTAAACATCTAAAAAGCACAGCAAGTTGGTATGAAAAGCTGGCATCTCCATCTTAGGAGATGCATTTTAAAAGCCTTTCTGATGAGTATCAAAATAAGCAGAGTACCAGATTGTCTTTGTAGTGTCAACTCTCCAGCAAATTGGTTTATAGTACTGGCATTTTTAGGGAGCCCAAATATAAGGGGATTTATTTTTTTCTTTGTACTGCAAATTCTTGGATCACTTCTTTTATTCTATATGTCTTGAGGGATTTTTTAACTTATTTTTTAAAAAAGAAACAGTACAATATAGAACTTTTTTGCAATAAAAGACATAGGGAAAGAGATTAAGTAAAAGCACAGAAGCACATTTTCATAATAATTGCTGACAAAGAAATACAAAGAACAAAGTGTCAGGAGGTGCTAAGACGGGGCAGGCGCTGGTGGTGTGTGCACACGCAGGCCCTGACACCTTTATCATGGGAGCAGGGCGTGGAAACAACAGGCAGAAAAAATTGGTAAATAATACACAATTACCAAGAGCAAATTGCCAGGAGAGCGAGAATAAAAGGGCAAAAGCACTGTGAGCTCAGTGGCACGACTCTTATCTCTGACTTCTGTCCGCAGGCTGAGGGGAATGTCTCCTGCCCTGTCCTGGCGCTGACAGACCGCCCTGCTTGGCGGGACGTTCATTTACTCTGTTTCTCCATTAGATAATCAAGTTCCCCGATACAAAACCCAAACGCACTGCAGCGGGAGACAGCGCAGCTAGGCGTGCTAACCGAGTCGGTGTCGGGTTCTTAAATGCTTCTTCACTTTCTGTAAATGTTTCAGAACTACATGTACTGTGCCTCTAATAGATTACATAGATGGGAATGATTATTCCATTGAACCCCAGCAAGGTGGGGATGAAGATGGCTTTGCCAGAGGGGCCTGGGACTGGAGTTTGCTATGGAAGCGTATTCCTCTAAGCCACAAGGAAAAAGCCAAAAGAAAGCAGAAAACTGAGCCTTATCGGTAAAGATTCTTACTTCATTTTTTTTTAATGTTGAATGTTTACTTAAGTCCTTTTTTTTTCCTTCCCCCACCTCGCGTAACCCTGTGGGTCCGTCCATCCGTTTCCATTTGATCTGTGGCACCTCATCAACACAACCCAGAACCATTTGCACTGTGCCGCTTATAGATGTCATAAATGGCAACACGTACGAAATTGTACCCCAAGGGGGTGGTGATGAAGATGGGTATGCGCGAGGAGCCTGGGACTGGAGTATGCTCTGGAAACGGGTGCCTCTGACCGCTCGAGAGAAGAGCCTGAGAAAGACAAAAACCGAACCGTATCGGTAATCACTAATCACTTACATGTTCTTCTTTCTCCAGTTGCTGCTAACCTGTTAATCTGTTGCCACGCTAAAGCTTTGTTGTCCAACTGTGGATGCCCTCTCAGACTCCGGTTTTCTTCCCTTATATGTTTTTAGAGCTACAAATTCACCCTCGCTTCCTTATAACTGCTTCTATCCTGAATGCAAGCTCCATTACTGAGAATCACATTCTTTCATTGGGGGAAAACTTCCTGTAAAAAGCACTATTAGTTCTAAGTACAAGTGAAATAAGTAAAACCTTTATTTTCTGTCCTTGTAGACTAGTTAACACATTTTATTTTGTTGAGCATATCGTCCTACAAATTTAAAATATATAGTTTACTTATAATCCAAGACTTAATTTCCTGATGCTTTTGGTGTAATGTTAATGATGAAAGATACTAGCAAGAGATTTTGGGGGTTTTCCTCCCATTTGTTTTATATGCTAATTTTTTTTTTTGTACCAGGGATTGAATTTGAGACCTTGTACTTGCCCAGCAAGCACTTATGCTGCTGAGCTACATCTCCAGCCCCTATATGCTAATTTTTTTTTTTTTGAACCGGGAATTGAACTCAGGCCCTTGCACTTGCTAGGCAAGCACTCATCTTACTGAGCCATCTCCCTGGCCTTGCTAATTCTTAAATACAAATTTTATATCTAATGAATAAAAGTACTCAACTTGAGAAAATGTGACATGGACTTCTTTTCTACGTCATTAAAAACATAGAAAAAGGGCCGACCAGGTAGCTCAGCGGAGACCTCACCTGAGACTGGGTGTGGTGGTACATGCCTATAATCCCAGTGCTTGGGAGGCTGAACACAGGAGGATCACTATGCATGTGATCTGTGTAGTGAGCCCCTGGAGACCCTGTACAAAATACTTCAAAAAAAAGAAAAACCTCTATTCCAAAACAACTTTTGTCCCCTTCCTGTGGTTTCTTCAAGTAAATATAGTTAAATATAAGTAAAATAACTTCTTTTACTCTCGTCTTTTGATCTTTTAATGGAAACACTTTACTTGCTTTTTAAAAAGTAACCCCAAATGAAATGTTTGCTGAAATGTTAGTATCAGCCTTCTCCACAGTGTGTCTGATATGATGATGATTATTATTACTATTTTGACCTTCCTGGGCTCTTCCTTCTGCTGCACTGCTGATAATATTAGACTTTGTTTTGGGAAGATGCTTCAGTGTCATGGAAATGCTGATGCATTTGGGCATATCATGATATAAAGATACTGAATGGCAAACATAAGGAAATTATAAAACTGTAAGCATTTGGGGGCCTTATTTTCAATTTGTATTTGAAAATGTGTTATTCAAATTAGCCTAGGAATCTGCTGCTTACCTGCTCAACTTGGTAATTCTGGGAAAAAAACAATACAAGGGTGTTGACTACACTTACTTTTACTGCTGACTCCATGGGCTAGGAAAGATTTCCTCAGTGAGCTAAAAAGCTAAAGGATGGTTTCCCTATAACTAACCAGTTTCCATGTTAGGATGTATCTTCAATTTGATATTGAGATAAATGGGAATATGTTTAAAGATAGGAAAGTCACACTTACAATAAGGACTTTTAAATGACAGTTGGATACATTTAAAGTAAAGTATAACCAGAAGTGTAATAGTGCTACTAACAAGCTTGGCAGCGTGCTTTAAGACAGTGTGTGCTGTGCTGTGTGCAGTTGGGTTTGGGTAAGGACAGAGTGGAATAAGAGTCCTCAGTCTTTTATACACCGCAGAGCTCAGGATGGTGGCAGTGCAGTTCCAGACAGATCCAAAATATGTTTTCAAGATAGAATCAGCACAGTTCAGTGAGATTTGGAATATTAGGAATGATGATACCTAAGACATACTAGCGATATTAAGTTCCCTAAAATGCAGGAATCATGGTGTGTTAATAATTAATTGTTCACTTAGAGTGGAGAAGAATTCAGAGCAGGATGAAAATTATTCCACTGTCATTTTTCCCAAATTGTGGGTATGAGTTGTCCTTAAAAAGCTATCAAAAAAATTTTTCTGTTGCCCCAAAAATGTATGCAACTTATAATCCATTCAAGAAGGGCCAAGATCACCCTTGGCACTCCTACCTCCCAGCATAGTAAGTAGCAATGCTGAATTTTCCCTGTGTCTTTCTTAAGCTACTTTTGCAAACTCTCAATGAAGTGGGTCTGTTTTGCAGTGATTTACACTCTTATTTGGCCAGCCCCTGAGCTATAAAATTAAAAAATGACAGACTGCTTCCATGCTGTATGGTTTCGTTCATCCCAAAATGACCCATAAATCATCGCAGAAGCAATTCGTAGGCTATGGCCATGTGCTTAGGAGTCAAATTTTTTATTTTAACTAAAACGAAGGCTTAGTTTTTAGAATCGACAAAAGAGCCAAGGCGCCCTCTACTGGGTAAAATGATACGGCACTCTAATTTGTAATAAATAGTTTCAGAAATGTGGTAAATTCATTAAGTATTACAAATAAATTATTTTGTGAAGGATTTATAATTTCCTTAATATTTGGCCATCAGTTTTGTCTTTTCTATGCATATTTAGGCTGTATTCCAAAAGGCTTGTTATTCTACTAGTAAAGTGGTGTGTGTGTGTGTGTGTGTGTGTATGAGAGAGAGAGAGAGAGAGAGAGAGAGAGAGAGAGAGAGAGTGTGTGGGGGTGTGTTTTAAATGGTTATTGAAGCATCCCTTTTGTGTTTGTTTTCCTCAGGTCCCCAGCCATGGCTGGTGGATTATTTGCCATCGAGCGAGAGTTCTTCTTTGAACTGGGTCTCTACGATCCAGGTCTCCAGATTTGGGGTGGTGAAAACTTTGAGATTTCCTACAAGGTAACATTTCATTTAAATTAAGCTTTGCAGTTTTCTAGGTCATTATTGATTTTTGTGACTTTCAGATGAAGATGGTTTCTTTTGAAAACAAAATCTGTATAATGCATTTCTCTAAATCCTAAGAAGTAATATAAAAGTGTGCACCTTTGGAAAAATAAAGCAAGACACAAGCTGTGAACTTACATGTTTTTTAGGACTCAGCTCAGAGTTATGACCAGGACACTTCAGAAATGGCAATACACTCCTCCCACTCCCGGGTTTTCTATACACTCAGCGCTGTTTATATTAAAATCTCTTTGGAGAACCTGCATGGATCAGGCCTGCAGTTGATGACCCACTGACATGGTCACCCTTTATCACTGTAGGACATGGTGATTCAGGACAGAAGCAGGTCCCCTCAGTAGCTGTGCATCCCCAAGCTGACCCCGGGGCTGTCTTCTGCAACACCTGCACCTCCCCTGTTGTTGAGGCTGTCCTGGAACAATCCTAAGTTCTGTGCTCCAAGTCCTGCCTCCACCCCCTCTCCTACCCCATTTTCCAAAAGAGAGAGAACTGTATCAGAGTGTGATTTAAATTCCTCTAGTCTTCCGTGTCTTGTGCAAAGTACTGTGAAGGATAGAAGAGGATCCTTGAGGGATAGAAGAGGAACCTAAGCCTAGATCTAAAGGAATTTATAGTCAATAGTAGGTTCAAGCTATACAAGAAGAAACCATAAAATGGCATGAAAAGCATAGTTCGGAAAGTAGAACTTGAGGCAGGACTGGCATACTGTCAGTGAGCAACAGATAAAAAAGGGAGATGTAGAATGGAAGGAGGTACGAAGGTGTGGCCAAAAGGAGTGTGTTCAGGGAGGAGGGAGGAGCAGTTTGACAGAACCGTGCAGAATGAATAGGGAGGATATCTAAGAAGATGAAGTGGACTGGTATGGTAGGACAGTAGGGAAGAGTCTAATACTGAGTTAAGAGATTTTTTCTTCATTTGATAAGCAGTAGAGAACCATCAAAGATACTAAGTAAGGGAATAAGAAGAGCTACAATATCTTGCTATAAATCAGGCTAGAATGAAGTAGAGACAAGCTAAAAAGAAGCCCAGTAAAGTCTTTGTAGTCATTACCCAGGTAGGAAATATATTAGCAGTGGAAATGATGAATGTTGTCAGGAATAAAGAATCCACATTACCGACAAGCTTATATTGAGAAAAGTTTGCTAGGGGCCACAAGTAGCAGTATTATCTATTCCCATTGCCTTCCTAAGTTTTTTATTTTTTATTTATTTATTTATTTTTGGTGGAACTGGGGATTGAACTCAGGTCCTTGCACTTGCCAGGGAAGTGCGTATTCTACTGAGCCATCTCCCCGGCCCCTTAAGTTTTTTAAATAATTGTTTATTTTATGATTTTACTTTATGAATTCTGTGTAGACATTTATCTAACTGAGATGTAAGATTTTCAGTTATGAGACAAATCTTCAGATACAATGTATCTTACATTTGGAACAACTTTCACAACATTTGTTTTTCCTTGAGAGATATGGCAGTGTGGTGGGAAGTTGCTGTTCATTCCTTGTTCTCGTGTTGGACACATATACCGTCTTGAGGGCTGGCAAGGAAATCCTCCACCCCTTTACGTTGGGTCGTCTCCAACTCTGAAGGTGAGTTTGAGCTAAAGATAGGAAACTGGCACTTATACATCACATGCTCTAGTAGAAATCTAACCAATGTTGGTGGTGTCCACACCTATAACATGCTGTTATTATCTGCAGTAACCACGGTGTACAGTGGATCTGTAGAACCCCTTCCTCCCTTCTAATGAAATTCACATCTGTTCAACACCTCAGGACTCCTTTTTCCTTTCCATTTCTGAGTTTAGCTTTTCACCCACCATCTCAGAGTGAGATCGTGCAGTCTGCCCTTCTGTGCTTGGCTTAGAACACATCGCGTAGTACCTAATGTGTACCATGTCTCTCCACAGTGCTGGAAATGATAGGATTTCTTTATCTGTTCAGGTCCCTTGTCCACTTTTATATCAGAGTATCCCCCCCCCCCATGGTGGAGCTGAGCTTCTCCATACCGGGGACACTGCTGTCTCCGGTGTGCACGCTGCAGATAAGCTCCATTCTGTAGCCTCCCTCTTCACCTCGCTGTTTGCTTCCTAGGTGAGCGGGAGCTTTTGGTGTGCTCTAACCTCACTTGTCTGTTTTTGCCTCGATGGCCTGTGTTATAGAGCTTCTGCTCGCGCCTTCTTCAGCTTCCCGCCATGCTTTGCTGCTGTGCAGACTGTGTGGCCTATGCAGCAAAGCTAGTTGCTGTCCAACCCTTTATGAAGCAAATTTGCTGATGTTCCTGGTCTTTATAGATGAAGAGGCTAAAGTGAATAAGTGCTGCCTTACTCACATATACTCATCTAAGAGTTTTATAGTTTCAGGGCTTAAATTTAAGACTTTAATCTGTTTTGGGTTATTTTTTATAAATGGTGTAAGGTAAAGGTCTAGTTTTTATTCTCTCGTATGTGAGTAACCAGTTTTCCCAACACCATTTATTGAAAAGACCATCCTTTCTCCATTGTATGTTCTTGACACCTTTGTCAAAAGTCAGTTGTACATGCCTGGATTAGTTCTGTGCCTGCTGTTCTGTTCCACTGGTCTGTGTGTCAGCTTTTATTGCTAGTACCGGCCTGTTTGGATCACTATAACTTTGTAAAAGATTCTGAAATCAAGCAATATAATGCTTCTGACGCTGTTCTTTTTGTTTAATATTACAGTAAAAGCAGCACTTTTGGTAAATAATGGGATCACATTCACACACTGAACAAGCACACTGAACACACTCACACAGTTGTTTGCATGTTAGCTGTGGCTGCTTTTTTACAACAAGAGTTGACTAGTGGTTGCATAGATTGGATGGTTCACGAAGCCAACAATGTTTACTCTCTGACCCTTTTAAGAGAAAACTTGCTGGTGATCTTCATAGATCAAGAGGCTGAATTGAATAAATGCTGTTTCAATCACATATATTGATGTAGCCATTCATACATTCTGTAAAACCTTAGAAGTTAGCGTTTTGTCTGTTACCAGTGTCTATTTATTGCTATGGAGCTGCTTTTCCTTAATATGAACAAACTAAGAAAAGTACTCAGTTAATTTGAGGTTATAGTAAAATGATTCCATCATAGGTGTAAAAAATACCAACAGAGTTACCTGAAAAACTGTGTTCTATCAAACGGCCATTGTCTTTCCAGATGGTTTCTAAAATGAAAATTTTCTCTACACACCAGTAGGAGAAGGAACCCCATGTTAGCTAGCCTCACAGAAACCTTCTCTTGGTTTGAATTTCTTCCTCTCTTAGCAGAATAAAATATATTACCTTAGAATATATGAGTGACCGAGAGCCCACACTGCCCACAAAGTCAGTGCCTGGGGCTGCACGTGCAGGCCCCCACCCCCACCCTGTGTGCGCATATACCTGAAGCTCAGCCCTGAGGTGGTGCGAGGTGACCACTAGTGTGCTCACAGCAAAGGCTGTTCCCTGCCTCAGCGCACAGGCCAACGGTCACCACCCCCTGGAGTCCATCATCTGCTGCTCAGGGAGCCCAGATTCTGTGTGTGTCACTTTGTAGCTGAACATATTTTTATCCTTGGAAAAAGACTTATTAGTCATTAGCTCACTTGCATTTGTTGTTTAATTAAATACTAGGTCCTATAGAAATGAGTTCGTTGTATCATGGTTATATTTTATGTGTCTAAGATATGCTGTGTATGTCATTGAAGTTATGTCTTTTTTTCAAAACAATACTGATTTTCTTTTCTGCAGAATTATGTTAGAGTTGTGGAGGTTTGGTGGGATGAATATAAAGACTACTTCTACGCTAGCCGTCCTGAATCGAAGGCATTACCCTATGGTGATATATCTGAGCTGAAAAAGTTCCGAGAAGACCATAACTGCAAAAGTTTCAAGTGGTTCATGGAGGAAATAGCCTACGACATCACCTCACACTACCCTCTGCCCCCGAAAAATGTTGACTGGGGAGAGGCAAGTATCAGTGGACACTCAGATTGCAGTGTCTGCCTTTGCGCGGAGGCAGAGAAAGATGGAAGGAAATGTGTAGGAGCAAAGAATGTTTGAGGAAGCTTAGGTAAAATCTGTGTAGTGACATCTGCTACCCTTCTACTTAAGCGCTGCCATTGCCCTGAACATCCGGCCACCTTGCTGTCTCCTAGTCCTCTTTGAATCTCCTTTGTCTTATACTTCTCATTCCAACCCCAAAGTCTGCCTCTTTCTTACCTGGTCCAAGCTGCCTTCATCTCTTGCCAAGACTAATTTGGGGAGCCCCCAGGTCTGTGTTGCTGCTGCTCCCTGGCTTTGCCTGCCTGTTCCCCGCACCCCTCCCGCCCTGCTGGTCTGCTGCTTCTGCCAGAGGTGCTGTTACAGGCTGTGCCCTCTGCCCATGGGGTACACTTTGTCTTTTATAAATAAATCAATAAATCACTGGTGCCTTAGTGCCAAAACATGACTGACATACTAGTCAATATTTGAATAAATGCTGGATGCGTGAATGATTGGGTAAATGAAATTTTCTCCCCTCCTATTACTCTAGCATTTATGAAACATCGTAAGTTTAGCACCTTCCCATTCTGATACCCTCATTTCCCAGCATTCCTTGAGCCCTGACTGTATCCTGGCTTCTGGGCAGTCCTCAGAGCTCTTCCAAGCTGTGGGAGAGGCCGCTTTCTTGGCCCCCTCCTTCCTGGCTGACACTTGCCCCTCCACCCAGTCTGTCAGGGTCCTCCAGACCATGACTTGTTCATCTTTGTGTCTTCAAAAGCTCTTCATAGTGTACAGCCGACATTCACCCAGTGAATGAATGAATAAAATGAATAAAAGATTTTATCCAGATACTATGGTGATTTATAATTGAGATTAAATGTATACTATTTCCAAAAGTAGTTCTTTTGATATAAAATTGACATTTCAAATATAAAAACCTAATTTACCTTTTCACCTACATTATCCATTATCAAAGGAAAACCTCACTGCCTAGCCCATGTGTGAGAATGTTTGACTCCAGACTCTGAATACAGCTTCCAAGGTACTTTATAGGTATCACAGAAAAGAATGTATAGACTGACTCTGGGTATCTCTGGCCAGTAACTGTTACCCTTGTGGTTAAGTAACTGTGCTTCTCATTATTGTTACTGTGATTCTGAAACTATACTTAGTAGTGTTTTTTTAGGTCAGTGCCCTTAGAATGAATTTGTTTCATTGTTGACTTTAAGACTATGCATGCTTTTAGAGATGAGTGGATGTGCTCAAAAATATGAAAGGCTAATACTAATCTGGCATTCCACACTCATGGGTTTCTCTGAACTGTAATATTTGATCTGAAACTTTTACTTTGGTGCTGATTGGTTCTTGGCTTTTTGTTTATAATTTTAGATCAGAGGTTTTGAAACTGCTTACTGCATTGACAGCATGGGGAAAACGAATGGAGGCTTTGTTGAGCTTGGGCCTTGCCACAGGATGGGAGGGAATCAGGTGAGTGGCTTTCTTCTGTGTTCGAATTGGTAGATAGTGAGATACTGACCACAAGGTTCAGATTGATTTTTAGTTATATAATTATAATAATACATACCATAGTTATGTATGTATATACTTAATTTTAAAAATATAAGTGACATATAAATATATATTAATATTTTCCTCAGCCTTAGGGGTTGAATCCAGGGCCTATGTGCTGCTAATCCCTTTAAAAAATATTTTATCCTTCCTAAGTTGCCAATACTGGGCTTGAATTTGTGGTCCTCTTCCCTCAGCCTTCCAAAGTTCTGAGATTACAGACATGTGCCACTGTGCCCAATTGTCATTTTATTTTGATAAAAGTGAAGCACTTTATAAAGAACTGACAGTACTAGAACATTTACTTAATTGAGGATGATAGCCATATTGATTTTCACATAAGCAAGTACAATCCAGAATTGATGTCTATATGTAGGAAATTATGATATATTCTTATGGGAGTATATATTTGCAACCACTACATAGGCATGCCTCTCTATAGTATTATTACAAATATACTTCAGTAATGTGTATTTTACTACTATGTTTTCTTATTTATGTGGATTTTTTCTTGTATTTAATTTAGATTGTGAAATATATTGAAATAGTTAGCGGTTTTCACTTTCTTACTTTATTAGTACATAATAAATGTGTTGATGACCCATTCTGTATCCTAGAGACTAAAAATGATAATCATTTAAATGCTAATAGGAGTCTCGACTAACTGCAAAATATTTCCATTTCCTACCTAAGTACTAGGTTCCAGACTGAAAATTTATAGAACATTGTTAGTCATTCAATTCAATTATAGGTGTTGAGTTGCTTCTTCGTGTTTGTACAATGTATATCAATAAGAACAATGGCTCCATTATTTCTTCTCTTTTTTAATAGCTTTTCCGAATCAATGAAGCAAATCAACTTATGCAATATGACCAATGTTTGACGAAAGGGCCTGATGGATCAAAAGTTATGATTACACACTGTAACCTAAATGAATTCAAGGAATGGCAGTACTTCAAGGTACTCGGTGTTTCAACTCCTGAATTCATATATTATGCTGTTTCATTTTCAGTATTACTTAGCATGTGAAATTTAGGTGAGCTCTGGGTGAATCTGAGGCATCACTTCTGTTCTCTGGTACAGTATTATCATGTAAAAAGGTCACTGTGAGGTCCCTAAGGACCCACTCTTAATTTCAGTAACTCAGGAAAATTAGTGTTCTGTGAATCAGAAAACTACCATTGTTCTATGAACAAAATCTGATCTTTAAAATCGCAATAAAAAAAATCGCAATGAATATTTATGCCATTAAAAATGTGTGGTTAATATTTCATGTTGTCCAGCAGGTGGAGATAGACACAAACAAATGAAAGCTAGGCCTTCACTACTTCCTTATTGTTTGCTAAATTCAATAGGATAAATTTAGCCAGTTGCTTTAAAGTCAGATTTATTCATGTGACCTTGCTGGGCCAATGTTTCTGTGTGATCCATATGTATTTAAAATGCTGTGGTTGGGAGCGCAAGCATATTAATGGATTTATGTAGAGTCCAAAGTCTGAAGGGGCCAGGGAGATAGCTCAGTGGTATAAGCGCCTGCCTGGCAAGTGCAGGGTTCCAAGTTTGATCCCCAGTACCAAAAAAAAATTAAAAAGAGAAAAAAAAATTTTACATCAAAGTCTAGATTTTGCCTAAAATAAATTAATTTATTATGAAATAAAATACTGAGAAAACTTTTCTAAACTGAAGGAAGGTGGTAACACAAGTTTACTTATCTAATATTTTTACAATATCCCATTTGTTGGTTAAAACTTGTTTGCTATGTAGTAATATCATGACCCAGCTTAATATCTTAATATTCCCAGTTAAATCTTTCCCAGGTAATTACTAAGAAGTGGAAAATATGCACCAATTACTGATTTCTTCTCCTCCTCCTCTTTTTTTTTTAAATGTAGTTCATTATAGCTTTGAAATCATTATATAGCCCAGGATGGCCTTGAACTTACAGAAGTCCTCCTGCCACAACTTCCTGAGTGTTGGAATTACAGGTATACACCACCATGCCCAGCTACATTCTTCAAAATTAGTAAAACTTTCCCCAGACAAGTTTTTATCTAGGTTGTTATTAATAATATTTCTGGAACTAGAAATTAAATCTAATTCATAAAATGTTTAAGTCATGAAAAAAGTAACAATAAGCTGGGCGTGGTGGTGCATGCCTATAATCCCAGCACTTGAAGGCTGAGGCAAGAGGATCCTTTCAAGTTAAAGGCCAACCTGGGCTACAAAGCGAGCTCCAGGCCAGCTGAACAACTAACTACATAGTGAGACCCTATTTCAAAAAGACAAAAGAAAAAGAAAAGGTAATAATAACCTTATCATATATTAATGTAAATAACATTTTATTGAGAAATTAACTATTTTCCCACAAAAAAATAGAAAAATAGCATTGTTGTATATTTCTATACATTTTTGTAACATCTGGTTTTAACAGGAAGCTGGATTTGTACTGAGCCTGCGTTGAATCTGATATACTTTGTTTTAGTTGGTATTTATGAAAAATCTAGCCCCGAACTTCAACCTAGAAGAGAAAGCAAATAGCTTTTTCAGAGAATTGTGACTATTCTTTGAAATTACACCACAATTCGATAAGTGGTACTTTCTTAAAAGTTATTTGAAGTGTAGAATCTGAAACCATATTGGTGAACATCTCATCCTATAGAAACAGCACAAACTATTAGTCTCTCTTACACTTCATGTGAGTTTGTACACCATGCATTGCTCATTTAGAAAATACCGTTACTAAATTATGTAGATCTTGGCATATTTCATTGTACGATAAGAAAATATCACAAATATAACTACTCATTTCATCAGAAAAGTCTTTAAATTTGGAACTGTTACAGTGGTAGAAATGCATTTTTCAAACTGCAGTTTTGGCTTGAAAATTCAGATTTTATCAAGAGCAAAAACAGTCAGGGTTTTTCGTTTTGTTTCTTACAGTGCCAGGCTCACCTCATTTTCAAGAAAACTCAAGTTTGAATAACCATATTTGTTGGTTGTTCTGTGAAGTAAAAATGACATTTTGTGAAAAAAGCAGCTAGTTCATCCCTTAAACCAATTAATTATACAAGTGCTTTTTCTCAATACCACGGCACTGCGTTATGTAGAAATACGTGGATACACCCTTATCATTTCCTCTCAGAAAATCAAAGTGCATACTCAGGTCAAATGTCAGTACAATTAATAAGCCTTAGCTGCTTCATCAAGGATATCCATATGTGGTACTGTAGATTGAACTGGGGGCCTTTGAACTGAGCTACATCCCTAGCCCATTTTTTATTTTTTTAGAGACAGGGTCTCACTAAGTTGTTAAGTTGCCTGGGATCGGCTTGAATTTGCCGTTCCCCTGCCTGAGCCTCTCAGTGCAGAGATTATGGGCACACACTGTCACGGATGGCCAGTGTTTGCTTTTTTAAGTATGAATTACATGGCACTGAAGACTGTGACACCAGCATAGTTTGGTGTCACTGCTGGATTCATGGTAAGGCTTCCTCAGTTTTACACACCACGATTTTCATCCTGTCAGCATAACTGTCAATGCAGTGAAAAGGGTAAATGAATTCTTCATATTCTGAAAGTAGTGCTAGTTTTGTAGACTCATGCTAGGATAGTCCAAGGACTACACTTTGAGGAATTCTGAGCTATATTAAGGAAATATTATGAGAAGTATGGTACCTTCATTGGAGATGAGAAGGAAAAACTATAAACCAGAGACATTGTAAATATCAGCCCTCAACAACTGATATAGTGCTAGAAAGCTCACATGTCATTGTCACACTGTTATTAGTCACCATAGGAACCAGAGAAGTCTGTTTGGAGGGGAAGAAAATGAAAGTAAATTTATATACATTCAGTTTGATGTGGCAGCTGTTACTAGGACTTAACAGTAAATGACTGGGAATGCTGATAATCCGAAGTATTAGCTGATATGAACTTGTTCAGTTTGCTTGAAATATCTTTTGAAAGGGAGGCAGTAGGGCTAGCGACATGGCTTAGCGGACTAAGCGCCTGCTTAGGTAAGTGCAGAGACCAGGGGTCTCTTCCCTACACCACATGCTGTGCTGGTTCCACCCCCAGGCACACAGAGCCAGCCCTCCAGTCTGGGTGTGGTGACACATGCCTGTAATCCCAGCACTGGGGAGGCTGAAAACAGGAGGATCACTATGAGTACAAGCTGTATAGTGAGACCCTGTACCAAGTACATAAAAAAGAAAGGCAGGCAGTGACTTCTGTTGTCAGTGGTATCAAGAGAGTAACTTGGTTTTCCTGTTTTCTAGAACCTACACAGGTTTACTCACATTCCTTCAGGGAAGTGTTTAGATCGCTCAGAGGTCCTGCATCAAGTGTTCATCTCCAGTTGTGACTCCAATAAAATGACTCAAAAGTGGGAAATGAATAACATCCACAGTGTTTAGAAAGAAAGGAATAATCTACCTACTGACTAGTAAATTTATACAGGACTGAAAACCGCCTGAAACCTGCTGCAACGATTATTATTAACTCTGTACAGCTCCCAACGTGGAACCTCCTGATCAGTTTGAAGGACAATGATAAACTGTGATTTTACAATAACATTATCATATGCAGTTACTGTTTACAAAACTGCTTTTACCTTAAACTTTGTAGATGTTTACATCCTTTTTGTTTTTGTTTCAAGATGATGTTGGTAATTTGTACCTTTAACTCTGCTTTGTTAGCACAGAGTTAAAAGCATTGTCTTCTTTGGGATTACACTCAGGGGTCTGAAAGGCAGTTTGATTTTTTTTTTTTTAACACACACTTGAAAAAAGGTTGGAGTAACCAAACTTTCATATATAACTTGGTGATTATCAACCTGTTGTGTCTTTATTTAATTTTACATCTTTTTGAAGCACTGCCACAGGTTATTAGCCAAGGTGGCCTTCCTTCACAGTCATGCTGCTTTTTTGCAAGGTGAATTTCAACAACACATTTAGTGCCTCTCTCATTTCTTGGTATGTTTTTCAAAACCTTTTGATGAAATTTATAGGCTGATAATAAGATGAATTGTCGTCACCTGTATGGGAAATATTTGAACCACTCAGAAACAGATTTATGTGCTGCCATTTGATATGAAGTTGAATGCTCTATAGCTTCAACAAGAAATGACAATGGGAACATCTCAAGGCTATTTCATAGGGTTTGAAGATTATGTGGCATTAACTTTGTGACCTACTGGTATTCTCTATGCCATCTACCATACGAACTCTAGAGATGCAAGAGCCTTTCAGCTAGGAAAAGACTGTCCACATACATTTGGGATTTACTTTTCCTTAGTATTTGTGAATATATTAAAGTAAAAAAACACTACAATAATTCTCTGTACTGAAATTTCAAAGGGAGGATAACAAAACAACACCACTATAAACACATCAAAGATTTGTCCCAAGGTAAGAATTTCCAAGCCCTTGTTAATTTAAACCTTTTGAAATTCTTGTGCATTAGTCTAAGCAATACAACCTCTGAAATATTGAATTGCTGTTTCATTTATTATCTTCATCCAAATGCAATTCCACGCACATTTCTGAAAGTTGAGAAAATGACTGTTTGACACAGCTCATTAACAAATGTGAACTATTTTGTTAGAGTGGTCTTTTGTTTTTCTTAATTTCTTTCTTGAAAACATTATTTTTTTCCAATGAAAACATTTGTTTGGATTCAAACATTTATTAATATAGTACCTAGTGTAGGAGAACCAAATATTGCAAATGGTTGATTTGATTTTAATTTCTAAATAGTCTTTTATTAGCCCAAATATTAAAATTCCTAAGTTGAGTGCTTAAAAATGTAATACAGTAGAGAATGGTAATCATTTTTATCTTGTAATCATGGTATCATTACAGTGAAAGGAATTTACACAGTACTGCCAGAGGAAAATATTTTTAATTAAAGCTAAAAAAAAAAAAAAAAAAAACACATTTGTTTAAAAGGAAAGCCTTCAATTTATTTCCTCCAAACTTAGTTCTTAAATTTGGAGAGTAAAAGTTAAACATTCTCAACAGAGTTTTATTTATAATTTTGAATTGTCAGTTTGTATTTTGCTACTAATCTGTGATTAGCCATTTTAATGTTCACTCATCTTTAGGGGTATTTAAAAAGAAATACATTTATATGCTTCTATAATGGCAAAATAAATTAGCTGTAAAAAAAAAAAGAAACAACTGGTACTTTAATTACTTGTGTGTTTTGCACATAGGTACCATTTTCCAGGCTGAATGGATTATAACCTTCTTATCTATGCATAAGCCTAAGAAAGGTGGCACATGAACTGTGCATGTAATCTTATGGGTAAACTAAAAGGGTTTGTGTGTGTTTGTGTGTGCAGTTTGTTCAAATAAGATATTCTGTGAACATGATTCTGTATATTGAAATCAGAAACCTTACCAAACATGAAAAACATCAGAAGCTGCTGCCATAATGACTATTTTCTACTGTAGGCTGCTTTGGAAATAATTCCCATATCCTTGCTTTGTAAGTTGATAATTATCACTATGCATTTCTATACATTTTATAAATTTGATTTATGCAGATTTTGATACACTGTATGTTTCTGTAGAAATTGTATAAATATTCAGAATTTTATTAGGGTAAATTTGAGAAGCTTATGTATATCTTAATTCTGGGTTGCTTGTTTTTTAGGTGAAAAAAAATAAAATATTGTATTTTAATCCATGGGGTTTTGTTTAGTAATGGTAATTCATTTGCAAATCTGACTGCACATTTTGAAGATTTATTTTTTATTTATAAACTCTACGGTGGGGGCCAGGAGATAGCTCAGTAGAATAAGTGCTTGCCTGGCAAGTGCCAAGGCCTGAGTTCAATCCCAGGTTCCACAAAAAAAAAAAAAAAATCTGTGAATTACTAAAATATTACAAACCAAAAATATTAGTTGAATATGTGCCTGGGTGTTGGTTAGAATTCTGCTGGGCCTCAATACTTGGAATTTATCTGTCTACAGGAAAGAAACAAAGGATTCTTACAGTACTTATGGTACCTACATTTAACTGTTTTAAAGTCACCTTCCCACTTATAAAACTCCTCAGCAAACATGTCTTTCTGGTCAGTGTATTCTATATGATTGCCTAGTGAAAGCAAAATACATATTTAAATCAAAATTCTTTACAGCCCAACAGATCAAGTGAGTAGAGTTACACAAAGAAAAGGGGAGCCTACCAAAATGAAATTAAAGAGAAAATCCATAGGACTTGGTTGTACAAAACACACCACCCCAAGAAAAGATATGGTCGCTCAGATTCAAGTCGTGTTGAACTTGAAAACCTTTCAGCTGAGTTGTCCACTGTCATGTCTTTCCATTTGTAGCTATTGTAGTATAAGGCTAAGACATCAGAAACATAACCTATTACCCGAATGCAATGGGGACTCACTCATTACCTAAGACTCAGACATCTTAGAATACATAGCATTTCTAAATGCAATTGGAAAAAACTCCACACATGTAACCAGGATCAGATACCTAGTAGGGTAATAGTTAAGGTATGTGAAACTTATTCCATGTGAAAGCACTTCAAAAAGTCAAACACTATGAAAGTATTCTTTGGAAACAATCTGTATTAAGAAAATGGGCAAATGTTTGAATGGTTCTGGGGACTTTTGTAGAGTTCAGAGACAAAGTACTATTTCCAAATTAGATTTAATTGCTTTATCAAATCTCATTTGTAGGATCTTTGAAATGCCTATAATTTAGGTGGATACTCGATTTTCTGAGTGAATCTGAATCTGAAGGGCCTACATCTGAGCAGAGGTGCAACACAAGTCTTAATTTTTATAATGGAATGGTATTACAGTTTGCTTATCTAAAGCAGTAGAATGTAGTAGACTCCAAATTCTGGCTGGCAAATTCCTGTTTCACTGCAAGGTCCCATGTGACCTTGGGTGAATTATTTAACCACTGTACCAGTTTGCTTAATAGTAAAATGGGGGAAATAACAGTGCCTATTTTATAGGGTTATTATTAGGATTAAATGAGTTAACATACATAAAGTGCTTACATAAAGTTCCTGGCACACAGTCAAAGTAATATAAATGTTAACTATTATCTGGTTTCAAAGTCTTAAAATCTGTATTTAATCAGAAGAGTAAATCGGCTTCCCTTCAAGCCTCTATAAATGCTATGTTTGCATGTTTCATGTATCAGTTAGCATTACCGTACTTTTAGAGCTGAAGGAATGAAGCTCAGACATTAAGCTGGAGATGAAATGATTACTATAAGATAAACTTACCTCTGTCGCATGCCTTCACAAAACATGTAGAATAGTTTTCAGTGGCTTAATTCAGCTGTTGTGTAGAACTACGTGACAATGTAGTTTTCAGTGACCTAATTCAACCCTTAGAACTATGTGCCATCATGAAGGGTGTCTAAATAGTATGCCCTTTAAGATATCTTTAATGAAATTTCCCTTGGACTTATGAGTATGTAAGCTCCAAAACTAATCTAAAATATTTGGCAGAAAAATGTCTATTACAGTAACTGATATTAAGGTTATGCTGCTGTCAAAACAATCAAGGGCAACTTTTGAGGAACAGGGTAACAGGCACAGCAGACTAGTACAGGAAGGGAAACTCGCTAAGTAAACCCGTTCACGTCTTTACTCAGAACCTTAACCATGCTGCAGCAGTTGGTGGGAAAATACTGATACTGCTGAGCTTTTAAATAAAGTAGGAGCCTGAGACTTTTGAGATGCTTTAACTGCAGAGGCAAGTTGGTGGTGGTGAGCTCACTTCATTATCAAGAACACTACACAGAATTTCTATAGCACTGTCTTAGCTACAGCAAAACACCCAGGAACAATTTAAATGCCCATTAATGAGGAAATGGATGAACTGTGGTATCATCACAATGGGATGCTTCTCAATAATGAACATGAAGAGTTATAAGCAAGTCTTAATAATACAGTTAAGTGAAAAAGGCAATTCCTAAAAACTACATAGTATATTGCATATTTAAACAACAGAAAAAGTAAACAATAGAAGTTAACTTGACCAGGTTCACAAATTTATTGGGATTGAAGATATAACTTCTGTACTTCATTTCCCAAGATCCCACAAGAGATACTTCTATTTTGTGCTAGGAAAAACTCCCTAAAGAAAGTAATGTTTTGGACTGGGGAGATAGCTCAGTGGTCTAAGTGCTAGGCTGGCAAGCTCAAGGATCTGGGTTCAATCCCCAGTACTGCATGCCATGCAAGCAGCTTCGTAGCAAGACCCTGTACCAAATCAGTCATAGAAAAAAAACATGTTTTCCATGCATTCTTCTCTATTCACCTCGTAAAGTCTCAGAACTGAATCTAATACTTTCATAGTATCTGTATACATATATACTTTTTAACTATTTACTAAGCATCAGTGATTTCTTGCTCTGAAGATGTCAAATATATTACTTGGCTTTAAAAAAATGAAATAAATCTAATTTGGGGATAGGGAGATGTCTTGGCAATCTAAGCACCTGCCTGGCAAGCACAGGGTTGAGTTCGATACCCAGTACCACATGCTGTGCCAGCCCAGCAAGTGTGTGTAATCCCAGCATTGAGGAGCCTGAGACAGGATTACAAATCTAAGCTGCATAGCGAGACCCTGTACCAAATAAACTTTTTTTTTAATTTTACTGAAGAAACAAGTTAACATGACTTGTCTGACATTACTAAGCCAGTAAGAAACAGCCCTTTTCAATGATGTCAATAAGCAAGCTCACTACCTCACTCTTCTTTCATAATTCTAATCTTTCTTCTGGAAAATGTAGAAAATCAACATGCACAAATATAAATTGTACTCGTTTACTTTCTTACCTGACCTAGGACATTTTCCAAAGTGATTGTCCTATCTTATTGAAGAGACCAGGTTAGATGACTTAAGCCATTTCCAGTTCTAAAATTTGATGCTAGATGTGCTTATTTTCCTGCCCTCTTAATGTGCAAGTCAGTTGTATTCCTGAGACAGTATGCTGTAGATGTGGTAATACCAAAGATGAGGTCCACTAAAAGGCCCAAGAGTACAGTGAAGGTCCAGTGAAACCTCAGAAATGGTATTTTTATCTTCACCGCAGCATACAAAATTAAGATTATTTATACATGTACCCAACTGAATGTTACCTAGAGACATATCTGATCCCCAAATTTGAATTCATTACTATTATTTAAAATTAAGATTTCACACTTTTTAAAATTGAGATTTCTGGCTCATTTGAAAATTGGAAGTTTGAAAAACTTAGAAATATGGTACATCTCTATCCGACAGGATTGAGCTAAATGACTAATGGCTCTCCCTTTTGTCCCATTTATG